TCTCATCTATCTAAAGATGTGCTAAACTCAGTGGCAAGGCCCCTCAAATTAGTAAAGGGATAGAATTTACATAAGAGATACTCTGTGCTTTTTCCCCAATCCCCACGTGAGCTGATCTGATTTTAATATAGATGCTAAGTGAGACTAAGATAATCCAAGTTTACAATGGTGCTTGATGGAAGATGTTAAGCCAATTGTTCTTTAAAAAATGTCTCTTCAGACTTGGAGTGCAAGAAATTGGTTACTTCTCGAGAGCTCATCTTGGGAAAGGGAAACAAAACAACCCCTTGGAACAGCCGACCTGGCTGTGTTGCAGTAAACATTGGTCTTAACCATACAGAAAATGCTGTGATATGATAGCAATCCAGGAACTCCTGCGTCGCAATACTACCTTTGCCAGTGAGTGTCTCCTCAGTGAGGCTACTTTGGCTTTCTGTCTCAATTTTCCAGTTGTGGAACATAAAAAAATATATAGGGGAAATGAAGGTGTGCTGACTCCAAACACTGTGCTGGTCCTAACCACAGAAAGATTGGGCAGTATTCACAAAATCATTTAGCTTTTCTGTTCCTCAATTCTGATCGACATTTGCGTTTTAATTCTTCATGGTCATGCATGAACCTCTTGGCCCTTATCCGTTTTATAGTATCAGGAAGCTTATTTGTCTGATCTCTTATTTAATTTAAAGCCTTATCCTGAAGCTGCCTCCTGGAGAGATTTCCACTTCTGATAAGTTGATAGGAGTTCTATAAACGCTACAGATTGAGGCTTCGATATACTGGCTGCCAGGTCACATATTCCCTTGCCTTTCTAGTTCAGAAAATCTATAGTAGAGAACAATCTTGTTTTACTAAAGGAGAGATCGACTTTTTTAAAAATATATATATTTTTTCCATTTCTAATGCCTGAGTCTACCTAGCATAAAATATATCTTCCTAACAGCATAAACGTGATGTGAATGCCTCTTAGATATTTTCCAGCACAGACAACATCAGGAAAAGGGTATCTTTTGTTCATTTGTCTCTGAACTGGCTGCAGTCTCTGTCATTATGTACTACCAAAATTGGATGCTAACCAGATAGAAAAACTGTAGCTGAATGGATTAGTTTAAGTCAACTGCAAACACAACAGTCGCTTTACAAAAAGGAAGCCATTTTCTAGGGTGCTTTCAGCAATGCGGATTTGAAATCTAACTTTGAAAACCAGCAGTCCTACTGAAGTGCTGCTTATTGGCATAATTACCAATAAATCCCAATCACCTTTCACTTACTTAAAGTTCAAGCTGATATTTTTCGAGAAGCTTTGGCTTTTGTTACTTTTCAGTACCAAAAAAAGTACAGCGTTTGAGATTGAGTATTTTTGGAAGCTTTTATTTTTAAGTGTATTCTGTTCTCATGCCCGTATTCCAATTTCAATTTTAAGAGGAATTGGCCTAGTGAACGTAAGTGACAACCCTAGGTTAGCCAAGTTCTATTAAATTTCTGATTTACACCCATGAGAAAGCGAGGAATTTATCCAAATATAGTCAGCTTAGCCCGACAACCTAGGGCACTAGCGTATACACGTGCTTATTAGCATTTCAGCAGAACATACTGCACAGCAGAATTAAGATGTAGTAGTCTACAGCATGAAATATTTATAAAGTTGTCTAAGCTCATAAGTTTGTTTGCAAAGTATATTAGTCCCATTGATTTGGAAGGGTTTCCAAGACTCTGTTGTACCAGTTTTCTGTTTAATAGGCAGTACTAACAGAGACTTTCGCATTTGTTTCTTGTACACATAAGATTTTAATCCTTGGCCTCTGCTCCTGCTGGTAACACCTGTGGAGTCCTTTTAACATGCCTTTACAATATAATCACTCGGGTTTCGGTCTGGAAGGAAGTGTTAAAACACTCCAGAAGCGAGTAGTATCTTTTTGACAACTTCTTCCTGTCAGCGTCCTGCTGTGAAGGGGATGGCTGCAGTCAGCCAGCATGCATCTTAGCAAGTAGTTAAGCCAAAGTAGATAAGCTTTTCCAGTATGTTCTCAGAAAACAAAGAATTGTGATTAGAATCACATTTTGTTCTTACCTTCCCCTGTACTTCTTCATCCAGTTGATCTAATTATGTAAATGAAGCTTTTAAAAAAATCTACTAAGCCACTGTAGAAGAGGAAGCAACACCTACACTGTTTTATTGCCTTCCCCACTATCTATACACAAAGTGCATTTTACAGAGTTTAGAGCTAGTTGTTCCTTTAGCAGCACCACTTAACTGATAGTTCATCAGGGACCTGTTCATGTGAGCAGGAAAATCACTGACAATGTTTTACCATTTTGCATCAGTTTACTGGTAGAGATGCGTAGACAAGTACAAGTCTTCCCCTGCTTTACAGGCTGTTGAGGATCCGCAGTTAATAACTCCACTAAAGTGCCTCCCTATTCTAACAGAGTGGGCTGGGAAGTGACAGAAGTGACACAGAAATTCAAACCGAGTCCTCTGATGTGTTCCCTAAAGCATGGTGTGGCAGGTTTAAAGGAACCAGGGAAGGGTGAAACTCATTTCTGCAGTTACAGTGGTTCCTTGAACGGGTTTAAGATCTGCAGAATCTAGCCCTTTTCAATAGCATTAATCACACAGGTTAAAAACAAGAATTTAAAACAAGAATCCCTTTATCTTCAGACCTATAAAGAGCCAAGATTTCTGCACGTACTAAGAGTTTCAAACATTTACTACTCCTCATTTCAGGCTGCATGCTGAGGTGTCATCTTCTCAAACATGAAACTCCCAAGTACATCTTCTGGTCCCCATGTGCTGCGCTAATAGTGGATGCATTAGCACTGTGTCCATAAACTGTCCTTTTCAGGAAGGATGCTGGAGTCAGTGCAGTGTGATCAGCTGGTATGCCATGGCCAGTGTGTGAAGGGTGCAAGAATCTGCTACTGGTAGGCGGAGCATTTAAGAATAGAGCATCTTCAGTGAACCTAATGACAGGAAGGGATGGAGAAGGATTCATGCAGGTGTTGCTCATCTGAGGACTGCTACCCAGGGAGCTTCTGGTGGCACAACTAGAACTGGGGAGCCGAGAAGGAAGATCAGGTTCTAGTAGCCAGGTCTGGCCAGGTGCAAGTCCCCTTTGCTGCTCCTCGCCCTGGGATTTTAAGCATTTGCAGCAGCAAATTCCAACAAAGATGCCACCAACAACAAATGCCACAAATACAGATCCAACCAGAAGGAATGGCAGGTACACGGGCACTAAAAAAGGAAGAGTTATGTTAGTCAACCATCACTTACAGCAGTATCCTAGGTTAGATTCTGTGGTTTCATTCCATAAGGCATGCACATGCACCAGGGAGCAAGCCGGGGCAGTTTATCTTACTCTGAGCTCTTATCTTGCTGCAGGAGAGCAGCAAGCCCAAGAAATGGCACACTCACTGGCAAAAGCCTAGAGGCTGTCAGACCGGCCAGTCAGTCCTATGGCATCTGCCGTTTATACCCGTTCAGGAGCTCTTCCAATACTCGAGTATATCGCAGCTACTGTTCCCTTGTGCATGAAAACAGAAATCCAGGCTTGTAACTGACTTAGAGCACACAGTTAGTACCTGAACTGCCATAGGGTTGCCCATGCAATCTAGGTTTGAGAGCTACCAGCGCTGTTACAATCCAGAAATTAAGTCAAATCCATTCCTTATGGGCACCCACATCCAATAACAGTCAAAACAGGTTAGCAACACACATGCTCCACCTGGGGTTTTATAAATACCAGAGGTGTTACTATATTAGTCTGTTAGTAGCTTGGAGGCTATTCTAAAAGCACAGCTGAAAGTTTGGGTGAAACCCCCAGGTCATTCCCCCTTTCCAGGTCGTTCCCCTGGCAGGAACAGCCTGGGAGCTCGGCAGGGCTGCAACGCGGAGGACCAATGATGGGGCTGATGTGGCCCAGGGCAGGCCGCTCTAGGGAGGGCAAGGAAGGAAGCACATCCCATCTCCCTCCCC